AGAAAACAATTGGTAACACACTACGGCGTGAAGGACTGAAATCCTGCAGCGCCCGCAAGGTCCCCCTGCTCAAGAAAGCACATATACAGGCCCGTCTGAAGTTTGCCAATGAACATCTGAATGATTTAGAGAACTGGGTGAAAGTGTTGTGGTCAGATGAGACCAAAATCGAGCTCTTTGGCATCAACTCAACTCGCTGTGTTTGGAGGAGGAGGAATGCTGCCTATGACCCCAAGAACACCATCCCCACCGTCAAACATGGAGGTGGAAACATTATGCTTTGGGGGTGTTTTTCTGCTAAGGGGACAGGACAACTTCACCGCATCAAAGGGACCATGGACGAGGCCATGTACCGTCAAATCTTGGGTGAGAACCTCCTTCCCTCAGCCAGGGCATTGAAAATGGGTCGTGGATGGGTATTCCAGCATGACAATGACCCAAAACACACGGCCAAGGCAACAAAGGAGTGGCTCAAGAAGAAGCATATTAAGGTCCTGGAGTGGCCTAGCCAGTCTCCAGACCTTAATCCCATAGAAAATATGTGGAGGGAGCTGAAGGTTCGAGTTGCCAAACATCAGCCTCGAAACCTTAATGACATGGAGAAGATTTGCAAAGAGGAGTGGGACATAATCCCTCCTGAGATGTGTGCAAACCTGGTGGCCAACTACAAGAAATGTCTGACCTCTGTGATTGCCAACAAGGGTTTTGCCACCAAGTACTAAGTCATGTTTTGCAGAGGGGTCAAATACTTATTTCCCTCATTAAAATGCAAATCAATTTATAACATTTTTAACATGCGTTTTTCTGGAATTTTTTGTTGTTGTTATTCTGTCTCTCACTGTTCAAATAAACCTACCATTAAAATTATAGAATGATCATGTCTTTGTCAGTGGGCAAACATACAAAATCAGCAGGGGATCAAATACTTTTTTCCCTCACTGTATATATAAAAACATTATTTGATGAAACATTGAATTTGGCCTTACTGCTATTAGTCCATTTAAAAAAATGCATTGAATAACAGATTCATTCAGGGAAAACAGATAGTAAAAAAATTAATCAAAAGGAAGTTTGTTTTGAAGTGTCTGTCCTATATCAGAGAGATACAGTATAAAGAAGCTCATCATTTTATTTATATTTTTTATTAACATGGTATGACCCGTATACCTTTGATGTGGAAACGCCCTATTTACTTCATTCATTTTTCGGCCCGGTACCGGGTCACTTTCAGACGAGTACCGTGACACTTGTGTTCGTGAACACATTGTGTTTGTGAGAGTCTCATCTTTCTATAGAGGGTCATATTAGTGTGTAGCCCAAACCGTTCGGACGCTACATACAGAAGCTGGCACATCGGAGGTACCGACTTCAGATGAGTCCCGTTACGCTTGTGGGGGTCATAGAGCAAAACGAACAGAGAACAACATCGTGTTCGTGAGAGTCTCATCTTTCCATAGAGGGGTCATATTAGTTTGTATCCCAAACCATTTGGATGCTACATTTTTGGGATGTCTCCTGGTCTTACAAACACTGCTGTAGCTCTGCCACCTTCCACCACAGATGCGGAAGGCCGACATCAGCGGATTGATAAGCAGCCCATGAAAATATATATATCTCTAGCAGACGGATGTAAAAAATACTAATGTTTTTATGCTAATTAGATGTTCACAGGTGCGGACATCGACTCTAGGAGGTTTAAGATTAATGCACTTACTGTAAATCGCTCTGGATAAGAGAGTCTGCTAAATTACTTAAATGTAAAATGTAAATGTTTTACATATAGATGTCATATTAGGCCTACTTTCATTATATATTTTTGTACTTTTTTATATTGATGTCACAAATGTATAATTTGTACAGTTATGTTACATGTGACTGTGTAAAACCTAGCAGTACTACTTATTTCTCTGATTATACATGATTATTTGTCTCTGAAATGAAACCATTAAGTGATAGATTTTAAACATATACATATCTGTCATTGAACAATCCCATGCCATGATTAGATAGTGAAAAAAAAACCACACCAATCTCTTTCACAATTTATTTAAACAATAAAAGCTAATTTACCAACATTTCGGAAAATGTATATACTGTTCATTTGGAAAGTATTCAGACCCCTTCCCATTTTCCACATTTTGTTACGCTACAGCCTTATTCTAAAATGGATTGAATTATACATTTTTCTCATCAATCTACACACAATACCCCATAATGACAAAGCAAAAAGTGTTAGCACATCTATTAAAAATAAAAAATCCTGTTTCCATTGATCATCCTTCAGATGTTTCTACAACTTGATTGGAGTCCACCTGTGGTAAATTCAATTGATTGGACATTAATTGTAAAGGCAAACACCTGTCTATATAAGGTCCCACAGTTGACAGTGCATGTCAGAGCAAAAACCAAGCCATGAAATCGAAGAAATTGTCCGTAGAGCGCCGAGACAGGATTGTGTCGAGGCACAGATCTGGGGAAGGGTACCAAAACATTTCTGCAGCTTTGAAGGTCTCCATGTCGAGGCACAGATCTGGGGAAGGGTACCTAAACATTTCTGCACAATTGAAGGTCCCCAAGAACACAGTGGCCTCCATCATTCTTAAATGGAAGAAGTTTGGAACCACCAAGACTCTTCCTAGAGCTGGCCTCCCGGCCAAACTGAGCAATCGGGGGAGAAGGGCCTTGGTCAGGGAGGTGACCAAGAACCCAATGGTCACTCTGACAGAGCTCCAGAGTTCCTCTGTGGAGATGGGAGAACCTTCCAGAAGGCCAAACATCTCTGCAATACTCCATCAATCAGGCATTTTATGGTAGAGTGGCCAGACGGAAGCCACTCCTCAGTAAAAGGCACATGACAGCCCGCTTGGAGTTTGCCAAAAGGCACCTAAAGGACTCTCAGACCATGGGAAACAAGATTCTCTGGTCGGATGAAACCTAGATTGAACTATTTGGCCTGAATGCCAAGCGTCACTTCTGGAGGAAACCTGGCACCATCCCTACAGCATCATGCTGTGGGGATGTTTTTCAGCGGCAGGGACTGGGAGACTAGTCAGGATCGAGAGAAAGATGAACGCAGCAAAGTACAGAGAGATCCTTGATGAAAACCTGCTCCACAGTGCTCTGGACCTCAGACTGGGGCGAAGGTTCACCTTCCAACAGGACAACGACCCTAAGCACACAGCCAAGACAACGCAGGAGTGGCTTCGGGACAAGTCTCTGAATGTTCTTGAGTGGCCCAGTCAGAGCCCAGACTTGAACCCAATCAAACATCTCTGGAGAGACCTGAAAATAGCTGTGCAGCAACGCTCCCCGTCCAACCTGACAGAGCTTGAGAGGATCTGCAGAGAAGAATAGGAAAAACTCCCCAAATACATGTGTGCCAAGCTTGTAGTGTCATACCCAAGAAGACTCGAGGCTGTAATCACTGCCAAAGGTGCTTCAACAAAGTACTGAGTAAAGGGTCTGAATACTTATGTAAATGTGATGTTTCTGTTTTGTATTTGTAATACATTTGCTAAAATGTCTAAAAACCTGTTTTTGCTTTGTTATTAAGGGGTATTATGTGTAGATTGATGAGGGGAAAAAACAATTTATTCAATTTTAGAATAAGGCTGTAACGTAACAAAATGTGGAAAAAGCAAAATGTGGAAAAAGTCAAGGGGTCTGAATACTTTCTGAATGCACTGTATAGCATTTTGGAATGAAACTCTTAAAGGTGACAGGCAAAGGTCTCCATGTAAACCATAAAATGTTATATTAATGCCCATTTAGGCTTCATTAAATAAGCCTCAACAGCATTTTTGTCTGTCACTACATTTTGTCTGTCATTTCTACTCTTTGGTGAAGATGTCATTTTCTGGCCATAGAATGCAAGGATGACATCACTTCAGGTCAAAAAGAAAAGAACAAAAGCAACACAAGCTACAGACATAGCTTTTGTGAGTCCTTTTCTGGATCATAAATGAAAACAAATGATACTGACATGATGTGACAAGACACTCATATCTGGGGAATAAACATTGCTCCTCCGCTTACTCCACTGGCTTCCAGTTGAGGCTCGCATCTACTACAAGATCATGGTGCTTGCCTACGGAGCTGTGAGGGGAACGGCACCTCCTTACCTTCAGGCTCTGATCAGACCCTACACCCAAACGAGGGCACTACGTTCATCCACCTCTGGCCTGCTAGCTCCCCTACCTCTACGGAAGCACAGTTCCCGCTCAGCCCAGTCAAAGCTATTTGCTGCTCTGGCACTCCAATGGTGGAACAAGCTCCCCCACGACGCCAGGACAGCGGAGTCACTGACCACCTTCCGGAGACACTTGAAACCCTACCTCTTTAAGGAATACCTGGGATAGGATAAAGTAATAAAGTAATCCTTCAGACGAGAACAGTAAACGAACAAAAATCTGACCAACTGGCAAGGTTGACTGCTATTTCTAGGAGGTTTAGGGTTAAGGTCAGAATTAGTGTTAGGGTTAGTATTAGGTTTAGGGTTAGGAGCTAGGGTTAGTTTTAGGGTTAGGGTTAGGAGCTAGGGCTAGTTTTATGGTTAGGGTTAGGAGCTAGGGTTAGGTTTAGGGTTAAGGTTAGGTTTTTGGGTTAAGGTTAGGGTTAAGGTTAGGGTAAGAGTACGGGTTAGGGTTAGGTTTAGGGGTTAGGGAAAATAGGATTTTGAATGGGACTGAATTGTGTGTCACCACAAGGTTAGCTGTAAAAGACTGTGTGTGTGTGTGAGAGAGAGAGAGAGAGAGAGAGAGAGAGAGAGAGAGAAATGTGAAATGTGTGCAATTTAAATATAATTTTGAAGCAAATAATGAATAAAATCAAAGAAATAGCATACCCTAAAAACAGAAGAAAAAAAACATGGTAAAAACTACCTAAATGTTTTGCACACGTCTTAATGCTACATGCGTTCTAGGAAATAACGTTCAGTTGCTATTTCATTTGCTTCATATTGCCACAACACGACTTCAAGTACCACAGTGCATTGCTTTACAGCCACTTCCTGAATACAGATGGCCACAGTGTTTACACCTAAATGAGATGAGATAAAATAAGTTCCCTCTGTCAAAATAGCCAGATGGCATTTTGTCGACATAGGTAGTCCTTTTTAGCTTGATTTCCTTATGTAATTAGTAAGTTGCTGAAGGTTGTCCGCTCGCAAATCTCTTTTTACACTCATCAGCAGCACTAGCTTGAGCTAGACCGTTAACTAACGTTAGCTAGCTACTGCACTGTAGCTAGCCAGGTATTTGTGCCTTGATTGGCGAATTATATTTTAACTTTAGTATAGGGTGGCAGTAAGTATGCTAGCTAGTATCGATTACGAACAGGTAACTTTAGCTAGCTTGCTTGCCTCAAACCACAGTCAAATAGCTAACTAACTTGACTTGCTAACGTGGCTAGCCACACAGCTGGATCTTTCCAAAATGTGAGTTGTCTCTTGCCTTGCTCATCAGCTAGTGTTTCTTTTTGTATTATTTTTGTACAATTCGAAGATGTACACCTTATTATCTGGTCTGTACAAATACGTGTTCCAGAAAGACGAATACTGCATTTTGATCCTAGGACTGGACAATGCAGGAAAAACGGTAAGTCTGTCTCATTGCTGTTACAGTCAGATAGCTAACTAGCAATGTCAAGTTCCACTTAGCAGTTTTCTCTCGTTGGAAGAGCACGCTGAGCACTGTTCATTGTCCTTGTTTGTCTCTGTTGGAAAAAGTACTGCTGCTTGTTTTATTTAGTCATGTAATTTCTACACACACAGACCTTTTTGGAACAGACCAAGACCAAGTTCAGTAAGAACTACAAGGGGATGAATTTGTCCAAGATCACCACTACAGTTGGACTTAACAGTAAGTATAGCCAACCAGCAAGACTGAGATTGTTGTGTTGCATTCAATTGTAGCACATTGCTTTTCAGAAGTCCATGCCATTCTAATGTTCTTCTGACTACTCCCTTCACACAGTCGGCACAATCGATGTGGGCAAAGCTCGTCTAATGTTCTGGGACCTTGGTGGTCAAGAGGAGCTTCAGTCGCTATGGGACAAAGTGAGAAGCACCGATATCAAATTACACACACACCATAGCTATCTAGATGTCATATGTCTGTTTTTGTCATTCAAGTACAATGATTTGAGGTTGACTACTGAAACATGGCTCTGTTTGTTTTGTGAATCCACAGTACTACGCCGAGTCCCACGGAGTGATCTATGTTATAGACTCCACCGATGAGGAGCGACTAGCAGAATCAAAAGAGGCATTCGGTGAGTTCCTCACTAGTTTGCCTAAAGCATTTAGCGAAGAATGCCAAATGTCAACAGGGCTTATGGCGTTATCTCTGTAATGGGCTACAGTCTGATTCACTACCTGAAATGTACACTTTTTCACTCCACATTATGGATGTAAAAGGAATGGACTGGTGTGAGAAATATGGTGGAAACTCCCTAGGCCCTGCTTGCACCAATCTAAAGACTTTAAAGGGATAGTTCACTCAAAATATTTGAGTATTTTGTTCATTAGTTCACTGTTAATACAATCCCAATGCAATGCAACAACCCTAATTGTGCATGTCAGCAGTCAAGTTTTCAAGATGGAGCAGTACAAAGCAAAAACTGTGATGATGTTGTGTTTTGCATCTCATGAGAGTGAGTCAGCAAATCCACTCTTCCTAACAGAAGGGTAGAGAATTGAACCATAGCTTGGACTGACAGTTCCGTTTTCTTTTTCCAGAGAAAATGATCAGCAGTGAGGTTTTGGAAGGTGTGCCTCTCCTGGTGCTCGCCAACAAACAGGATGTGGAGGTAGGCCTATATAATCGGGTCTGGGGTTGTTTTGAAAATAAATCTAAACTAAAAATGTGTTGTATAAACAAAATATGACAAGTTGTTTGGCCTCTAATATGATCACAACAAAGTAGTCCTCCATCCCTCATGCATACTCGTAGATGACTAAGTGTTATAATATACGTTATACTCATACTATACACTGAGTATACAAAACATTAAGAACACCTGCTCTTTCCACGACAGACTGACCAGTTGAATCCAGGTGAAAGCTATGATTCCTTATTGATGTCACTTGTTAAATCCACTTCAATCAGTGTAGATGAAGGGGAGGAGACAGATTAAAGAAGGATTTTTAAGCCTTGAGACATGGATTGTGTATGTGTGCCATTCAGAGGGTGAATGGGCAAGACAAAAAATGTAAGTACCTTTGAATGGGGCATGGTAGTAGGTGCCAGGCGCAGCGGTTTGTATCAAGAATGGTCCACCACCCAAAGGACATCCAGCCAACTTGACACAACTGTGGGAAGCATTGGAGTTAACATGGGCCAGCATCCCTGTGGAACGCTTTCAACACCTTGTAGAGGCCATGCCCCAACGAATTGAGGCAGTTCTGAGGGCAAAAAGGGGGGGGTGCAACTCGGTATTAGGAAAGAGTTCACCTTAATGCAGCGTTATTGTACTCTTGAAATAAATGTGATTGACAATTTCCACCACATACAGCTATCCCTTGCCAGGTCAATTCTGTCTCTTTGAAAAACTCTAAGACCGTATCCATTTAGGCATATTTCTTTGTGTTTTTTCCCAAGAACTGTATGTCTGTGCCAGACATCAAAACCGCTTTTAGCGACTGCGCTCCAAAGATCGGGAAACGAGATTGTCTGGTGCAGCCTTGCACAGCCCTAACAGGGTAAGAACAGAGTTTTCTATTCCACTTTACTCTCTGTTGTACAGTGAGGGAAAAAGGTATTTGATCCCCTGCTGATTTTGTACGGTTGCCCACTGACAGACATGATCAGTCTATAATTTTAATGGTAGGTTTATTTGAACAGTGAGAGGCAGAATAAGAACCAAAATATCCAGAAAAACGCATGTAAAAATGTTTTATGAATTGATTTGCATTTAATGAGGGAAATAAGTATTTGACCCCCTCTGCAAAACATGACTTAGTACTTGGTGGCAAAACCCTTGTTGGCAATCAGAGGTCAGACGTTTCTTGTAGTTGGCCACCAGGTTTGCACACATCTCAGGAGGGATTTTGTACCACTCCTCTTTGCAGATCTTCTCCAAGTCATTAAGGTTTCGAGGCTGACTTTTGGCAACTCGAACCTTCAGCTCCCTCCACAGATTTTCTATGGGATTAAGGTCTGGAGACTGGCTAGGCCACTCCAGGACCTTAATGTGCTTCTTCTTGAGCCACTCCTTTGTTGCCTTGGCCGTGTGTTTTGGGTCATTGTCATGCTGGAATACCCATCCACAACCCATTTTCAATGCCCTGGCTGAGGGAAGGAGGTTCTCACCCAAGATTTGACGGTACATGGCCCCGTCCATCGTCCCTTTGATGCGGTGAAGTTGTCCTGTCCCCTTAGCAGAAAAACACCCCCAAAGCATAATGTTTCCACCTCCATGTTTGACGGTGGGGATGGTGTTCTTGGGGTCATAGGCAGCATTCCTCCTCCTCCAAACACGGAGAGTTGAGTTGATGCCAAAGAGCTCAATTTTCGTCTCATCTGACCACAACACTTTCACCCAGTTCTCCTCTGAATCATTCAGATGTTCATTGGCAAACTTCAGACGGCCCTGTATATGTGCTTTCTTGAGCAGGGGGACCTTGCCGGCACTGCAGGATTTCATTCCTTCACGGCGTAGTATGTTACCAATTGTTTTCTTGGTGACTATGGTCCCAGCTGCCTTGAGATCATTGACAAAATCCTCCCATGTAGTTCTGGGCTGATTCCTCACCGTTCTCATGATCATTGCTACTCCACGAGGTGAGATCTTGCATGGAGCCCCAGGCCGAGCGAGATTGACAGGTCTTTTGTGTTTCTTCCATTTGCGAATAATCGCACCAACTGTTGTCACCTTCTCACCAAGCTGCTTGGCGATGGTCTTGTAGCCCATTCCAGCCTTGTGTAGGTCTACAATCTTGTCCCTGACATCCTTGGAGAGCTCTTTGGTCTTGGCCAATGATGGAGAGTTTGGAATCTGATTGATTGAATGCTTCTGTGGACAGGTGTCTTTTATACAGGTAACAAGCTGAGATTTGGAGCACTCCCTTTAAGAGTGTGCTCCTAATCTCAGCTCGTTACCTGTACCTGTATAAAAGACACCTGGGATCCAGAAATCTTTCTGATTGAGAGGGGGTCAAATACTTATTTCCCTCATTAAAATGCAAATCAATTTATAACATTTTTGACATGCGTTTTTCTGGATTTTGTTGTTGTTATTCTGTCTCTCACTGTTCAAGTAAACCTACCATTAAAATTATAGACTGATCAGTGGGCAAACGTACAAAATCAGCAGGGGATCAAATACTTTTTTCCCTCACTGTACATCTGGTCTGAGAGAACTCCATTGTGTGTGTGTGTACAGGCACTCACAAATGTACAATTTATCATCCTTGCTTTAAGAACAGCAGTACTCTTTACTTATAATGAATTCTCTTTCAGGCAGGGGGTTAACGAAGGCATCGAGTGGATGGTGAAATGCGTCATCAGAAACATTCACCGGCCACCGAGACAGAAGGACATCACATAGAGCAAGCCATGACCTCCCCACTAGGGCTCCCACAACTGGGTCCTATTTATTAGGCAACAAATGGGAGAAAACGTACTGAAACAAGAAGGGACTGCCAGTCCAATAAGAACCATTTTCAGTTCAAATACGCTTTAAAACATTTCCCTACGTTCCGCCCTGTTGAATATGACCCAGGCGCCCGTTTTGCTACAGTGTGACTTTCAGAAACCGAGATGGATTCTATCCATGGCCCGGCAATGAACTTGTCTCTCCTCCTATTTGAGTGGGTGTTGGGAACTCAAGCCTAGTTTTCAGATACAGTTTAGCATCAGGGAGAAACAATTGATTATTGTATATTATTTGGATATGTACTCTGATTGGGGTGAAACGCTTTTTGAGGCAGTATTTTAACCTCCGCTAAAGTGTGAATGATGTGTGTCTTTCTGATCTAAGTATAACAGTGTCATCAAGTCGATAAACAAATGTTATAGCTCAAGTACCTCCGTTTCCCGGTAGTATAATCCGTCTTCATAAAGCGTCTGAGTAGGGTGCCAATCTTGGATCGACTTTTCCTTTTAGATCATAATGAATCAAATTGATATGGATTATATTACTCTGAATACAGGCCCTGTGTTTTCACCCCAATGCTTGAGGGTTATTTAAGTCAGAGGATGAACCTTGACACAACCTTGAGTTGTTATTTATATTATGCAAAGACACTACATGTAATGGAATTGTACATAGGGTCAACAATATATAAATGACTGCCCTTTCATTGACAGGAGCTGTTTAAATACTAGTTTTATAGTTTGAAATGGCGTGTGTAAGTGAGTCCCAAATGGCACACTATTCACTATTTAGGGAATAGGATGCCATTGAGGACACACGTACAGTTGAAGTCGGAAGTTTACATACACCTTAGCCAAATACATTTACACTCAGTTTTTCAGAATTCCTGACATTTAATCCAAGTAAAAATTCCCTGTTTTAGGTCATTTAGGATCACAACTTTATTTTAAGTCAGAATAATAGTAGAGAGTGATTTATTTAAGCTTTTATTACTTTCATCACATTCCCAGTGGGTCAGAAGTTTACATACACTCAATTAACAAGAAATGTGTGGAGTGGTTGAAAAACGAGTTTTAATGACCCCAACCTAAGTGTATGTAAACTTCCGACCTCAACTGTATCTATTTTTACTCTGTCTAAGCTGGTGACATGCAAAGTATCTCCAATGATCAGGCTGAAAGCTTATTTTAATGACATTGTGAAGAAGATTATGTAATAAACAGGACAACAGTTGACACTTTTGTTTGACTTGTTCATTCGTTCTTAGATGTTAGGGTGGTGAATAAATAGAATACATGTAAAGAATGTCAGCTGCTTCCTGTTAAGCACATCAAAATTCAGATGCCTTTATTATTTTATTTTTTACAAAATCGTAGGAAAGTAGGGTGGTATACACATGAAGAGGGGAAAACAGACATGAAAGGATGGGATTCATACCCTCGTACCACCAGGGGGGAGTATGGTATTACTTTTATCTGTTGTTCGTTATTCATAAAAAAAATTACTCACCTGAATGTAAAACCCACCGGAAAATGTAATAAGTTATTACATTATCGGGGAAAAAGTTATTACATTATCTGTTCATGTTTATTACGCTATCCGTCTATTTATTACATTCACCAGTTTGATTATATTATAAAATGTATTACATTATGGCAAGTTGTTACGGTATGCAGTGTTATTTCGTTACCTGTTCCAGGGTGTAAATCTGTTGATAAAATGTGATCCCCAATCTCTTATTACAGACCTTACACCAATCCATGCATTTCTAAACATTGGACTGAGTGAGGAGGTGGTGATCTCCCATTGCTTCCATTTCACTTCACTTGCTTGATTACCACAAAGTCCCTGAATCCCTTTTGTTTGACTTTGCAACTCAATATTTCACACTTACCCACCCATTCAACGATTACACCAACACATGTAATGCATGTTATGGAACCTACAGTGTAAAATGACCAAACCATTGTGGTGGGATCACATCTAGTAGGCTACATGTCAGTCACAGTGGTGTGTGGGCATTTCAGGAAGTGCTGCTGCAGTATTTATGCTGTGGATCAACAACCACTAGATTGTTATCGAGCAACAACAACACTACACTTCCTTTGTCAGTTTGGTTTTTGCAGAAATGAAACCTAGAACAGGTTTCACAAAAGGTGGAAATAAAACAGATTTCTTAGAACATTAACTGTTGAGATACTGTCCACCACACCTGGGGGTTGGCTTTGCAGAGAAATCTTGTTTCTTTTACCAGGAAGGGATGTAATCAATGTGAGGTCATTCTTTGTTCACATGCAAAACTAGCACAGTAATAAAACCATAAAGTCAGCAAAACATTGTATAATAATAAAAAATCCTGCAAATTTAAGAAAGGTATTTGTATTTAAAGCACCCTTGGGAAAATGTAATGCATTTCAAATAGATTTCTCACTGTTCTATAGTTACTGCTTTAAGGTCTGTTCTCATACTAGGGTTGGGCAGTACCAGATTTTCATACCGTCATACCATTTCTGTACCATACTGGGGTATACGGTATTACCGGAAGTGCACACAAGGGGCACTATTTCCCCCCCCCAAAAAAATGTATGCACAAAACAATTTAGGCAACAGGGATCTTGATCCAGGAGGGGATTGAACGTCTCTGCTGTAACCAAGAAGCTTGATCTTGACAACTAGCCACTTAGCTAGCAAGTTAGCAAACCAAATGCATAGCTGGAGCCCTGAGTTGGATATCATTTATTTGACACATCTTAGATTTCTTATAGTTATATTTAACTTATAGTTATAAGCAGTGGCGTAGCACGCACCCCCGCAAGGCGGGTTTAACTGAATAAAAAACAAGTATTTCAAATGTATTTGTATACCTTAATTTATGACCAATAGGCTAAAATAGTCATATTTACTTAATAGTTACTTGGAAATAACTGACTGGTCAGAAAGAGCATGGCACTGAGGGATGACACAATACAGATAAGCCACAGGTGTGTTAGAAGGGTTAAAACATGTTTTGACAGGAAATGCCACGTCAGTTGTGTAACCATAAAATCAGATGATCTGATCAAATTACTTCTATAGATATGAAACTATAGGACAGGAAAGGGTTGAAAATATATATATATATTTTAAAGCCATCTCTTTTACAATCAGCTAAAGAATGTAAAAGTGAATATTACTGTCAGGTTATTTATTACAGTATATTGTTCCTCTAAATACGTTCAGACACCAGAAGGAATTTGAGTTGTTTGAGTTGTGTGTAGACTTATTCATGCTATTGTATGCTTACCCACTGGGCACAGATGTCTATTCCACATTGGTTCAACTTCATTTCATTGAAATCACGTGGAAACAATGTTGATTCAACCAGTGTGTGCCCATGTGGATATGCTCTGACTGGGATTGATAGTTGTATTGAATTGAAGGCACAACCTGTTTCAATTCCCATAGGAATAGTCATCAGAACCAGGGGCATCATGCACCCAATATTTTAGAGGGGGCATAAAGTATATGATGGAGAAGTTGGAGAATTTTGCATTTTCTTAAACACCTGAAACAGCTTTTTCCTGCAATCTAGAGCCATAATCTTTATGCCTATTTCTATGTAAAAAAAAAAGTAGATAATTCTACATAGGTCATTTTAATGACGGTGTCATTCTTACTGTTGTAAATCACACATCTCAATATACTGCACTAACATGCTTAGAATATTACATCCTAATTACAACACAGTACATGGGATCATAACACACATCGTCAATACAGGCACATATCATGGCATCATTAAACCAGGTATTTGTCTGCATATCTAAGCATACATCTTGAGCTGTCTGTATCCTCCTGGCTGGTGGTTCTTTATTTAAAGAAACAAAATATGCTTCTCTGCTAAAATCTGGGTAAAAGATTGAAAGGAATGTGAGTCTTATTCAGTACATTTAGTATTTGCTTGCTTTTCTAAAGTCTAGCAACCTTGCCATCATGCATGCCGGCTAAGATAGTTAGACAAGCTACTCTATCTTGATTGATAGCCTGAAATGGCTTGGTTCCTAGTTATGAGGTTGGGAACCTATCTAGCTGGCTAGCTAAAACCAAGTTTATAAAATTGCTAGTTGGCTAGTATTACAAAGAAACAAAACATTTTAATTTGATTGTGGGGGGGGCTCTTTGCCTTTGGTCAAGTCAGTGTGCCCCCTCCGCAAAATACTGTTGAGAGATAATTTTATAAATAATTATGATACATTAAGTTTAGTCATTCATTTAACATCTGAAGAAGAAAACAAATCTGAGGGGGCACGTGCCCTTGTGCCTCCTATAGGTATGAAGTCTTTGATCAGAACCCCACATTAATGTATGTCAGATGAATATCTCGTTAAATGAATATATAGCACCATATAAATGTCATACTACGTTGTCTCTCATGGATTCTATCTGTGGCAGACTGACACCGACTGTCATTAATAAAGTACAAGTAATGCAGGAAGTGGTGTTGAGAAGCCAGTAGAGGGCATCCTCCCTCTAGTCCAAGTACTATAGATCCCAATTCACCCATCTAGTGATGATGAGTACGGATGTGTGGCCTCAGTCAGGCCTTGACTCATGGTAGTCATTATAAATCAAACAGTAGCAGGACTAACCCTCAGTGTACTGGCCAAGGTCTAATAATCAGACTAATAATAACGTGGCCCGTAGTCTACAATACAAAACAATCATAATCATCCCCCTAGCATATTATGTGTATTTAACTGGTTATATGCAAGCATAAACATATGAGGGGATTCTTACTCAGACTACTACATATTATTCTGTCAGTACTTTAATATTAATGGATATTATAGTCGTGCTGGTTGGCGCTACTATAGTAGGGATTGATTGAAGCTCAATGTTAAATTCAACTCTCCCTACCATAATATCTAAGCCAATATGATACCAATGTCAATGAAAGTTCGCAAATCAACTTCATTGGAGGTATACATCAGGAGTGTCCCTGATGATCCGTCCGGCCATTGCCGAGAACCACATACCAGATTTTTTAACAGGGTTGTTAGCAATTTAGTTTTCCAAGTATTTTCTGTGCCCACCTCGCTCAAATTCTAGACATCGGATTAAAACGAGACTATAGCATCCATAAAGTGACCATTGGACTTAAAACATTTCGGATTGACTAAGTTTGTAGGTGCAACAGTTTTTATTAAATGTATAATTTATTGGATCGACTAAGTTTATAGGTGCAATAGTTTTTATTAAATTGATAATTTATCGCTCTCACATGAACATTTTTGTCCATTAAGAACCAGTTCTATCTAACTGGGTTGAGCAACTCAGTTGCTCGGCAAGAACACAGCTGCAACATGCTGCCAGTTATAAGAAGTGACTG